ATCTTCAGATAAAGTAGGTGAATTTTCATTTCATGCTGACTTTAAAGGGGCTGTATGTAAGAATTAATGTCACTGTGTGAGCAAATTGTTACAAAACTTAAACTAATGAGACCTTGGTTGTCTGTGAAAGCCTGTAGATTTTTATGTGAAGGACTCAAGATGTTTTTGCCAGGGAAATCTAAAGGATGTGACATTTACTCACGCTCCTGAGAGCCTCTCTTCCATGACACATGAAACGAATGCTTATACAATGTTCAGGTTAATGCTGAAAGAGTTATTCTGTACTGTTATGCCGGTATGTCATGCAAAAAGGGATTAATTTAAGCTACAGTCTCATATATAGTGTATAATTTTGAATATACTAATAATAATAATTTGCCAACATGAGCGCACAACACATATTTACATCTTCATCTAAAAGTCGCTCTCAGCAACGTGGGCGGCGTCTGAATGTTCATTAACAGTATATCGCTGCAAATGTTTTTCAACTTATTTTTTATTCAAAACAGAGAATGAAAAATAAATTTGCTGTGAGTATATCAGGCTATTGATATGTTATTTGAAAATAACAAGGGTTTCTGAGTTCTACATACAGCCCCTTCAAGGCTCATGTAAGCCTAAAACTTGCAACACCTTGCTTGAGATACACCCTTTTTTCATACTTGGTTTCTATCAAATAACATTGTCAGTGAAGAAACAAATAGGCTATGCCATCAAATGTAAATTGATATGAAACATTGAACAAACAGGGAAAAGACAATTCATTGTAGAACATAAGGCTTATATGATATATAAGGATTATATTGAATATGATAAGACCACACTGTCAGTTACACAAAACAACTCTCATCATGCAGAGACTGTGTGCGATCAATAGCTCTTTTCTGCTTCTCTATCAGTCATTCAAATATACAGAATTCCTTTTTTTTTCTCCTTGGTGAAGATGGGTGGACACCGTCTGCCTCCTTGTATCCAGCATGGATCCATTTTTAATTTGATGTGCTAGGAGCTGCTGACAGTCCCCATATCTTCAGATAAAGTAGGAGGATTATTAATGTATGACTTCAATATAATGATTTTCTCATCTGCCAATCAAGCAGCCTCCTTTTGTGGCAGCCCAACACAAATGGCTGCACGGATGGCATTTACAGAATCCCATTATGTCAGTCTGGTAAATAACGAACATTGGAAAAGACTTTTGAATCAATGGCTGGTAATTATTTTTATCTGGCCAAATAAGTCCATAGAAGTAACCTAGCTGAGGATAACCCTTTGTGTGCAACCTTTGTCATGGTGATATTTACTGGGGTATATCAGTCTATTAAGTGTAGTTCTACTCTGTGAAGCAAACTGTTTTTTTTACACTCAGTGATGTGCCTCAGATTCTCTTGTCAAGAAGACAAATATGTTATTCACAAAACACAACTCATCCTTTCAGTTAGACTTCATTCAGCTGACAAAATTATATTTTGAGTTGAAGGCACACACCTTGTTCCAACAAGACAGAATGGCTCGGGAGGGAGCTCAGCTTTAGATGTGTCAGAAATATAGTTTTATATAGCAAAATGTCAAGACGGGACTTTGATTTTGTGGGAAACATTAACAGCATAGTAATCCTTGAAGAAATATACGTTCTTTAAAAGCAACTACATTATGTAACTGAATTGGCAATGTGTGTTTTAGGTCAAGGTGTGTATTACGAGGTTCTGTAATTAGCTAAATTTGCAGCGTTAGCCTCTGGGCTGAGAACAGGTAGCCTTATTAATGGTAAACAGAGGTACTCATTAACCCGGGCAGTGGCACTGACGGTAACATCATCTAATTACAGCTGCTGCACGTCCCGTTGGGGCAACCATGTGCGGAGTGCTGAGGAAAAGGTCTAAGTCATTATTAGCTTTTTCACGCACCTCGCTCAGTGTTCTAGTTTAGTGACGAGTGCAACAAACTGTTTATTGAAAGACCTGGTATCTTTTTATTTAAGCCAGTATACATTTAGGACTTCCTTTTCCAGTGCTAAAGAACTGCTAATTAAAAGTGCTTTTTGTTCATACTTAGTCATACTAACAAAATGAGTCAACTGTGGATGTTGAGAGCCAATCGCAAACATCAACAGTGCTATCACGGCGGAGCCCTTATAGATCAGTGGGAAACAGACCTCTGTTCTACAATTGACTGTCTTCTGAGTCCGTAGATTAAATCACTCTCTTGTCTTGCAGTTGGGCCTTTCCATTACAAAAGACAAAGGGAGGCGGCTTCTTTACAATTGCGTGCCAGACTTGTGCTGCACACTCATTTTGTTTTGGCTCTGACTGCCGTGGAATACTAATGCACCCTCAGTTATCTGAACTCGGATTATATATAGCCACGCCACAAAGTGTGAAGCCTTAAAACAGGTTTTTAATATTATTGATTCAAGCACGGTTTCAGTTAACTCAGGATAAATAAAAGAATAACTCCAAGAAATAATTTGAATAATAACACCAAGTAATCATTTTTAATTCAGAATAAAAAGAAGAAGAAAAAAAAAAGATGTCTAAATTAAGGCTGGTTTCCTTACAAGACAATTGTACAATAATTGTAACTGATTATTGTTGAAATTTGATTATTATTGTTAAATAAAAAGATGGCTAAATTTAGGCTGGGCTCCATACAAGACGATTGTATGAAAATTGTAACTGATTAATGTTGAAATTTGATGAATGATTATAATTGTTATTGTTAAAAAAAAGATTCATAATGACTAAATTTAAGCTCATATTTATGCAAAACAACTGTAAAACAGTTTGATTATGGCCATTATTCACTCATTCTGTGTACTTAAATATTCACAATGCCTACATTTAGGCTAGTTGTCATGCAAGGCAATTGTTAAAAATTGTAACTAACTATTGTTGAAAATTGATTATTGTTATTTATTCTAGCATTATTCAAATAACTCAGGATAAAATAACAACTCGACGCAATAATAACTCCAAACTATCAACATGAGTTTAATTCTGTCCATTTTTTGAAAGTTTCACTCATTTTGTGAACCTTAAATAAAAATATTCATAATGTCTATATTTAAGCTGGTCTCCATCTCTATATAAAAAAAACACAGTAGACCCAAGACTGCATTAAGTTTTCTTCAAATGCTGAAGTTTTAAATTTCTCAGCATGAGAGACATTTACAAGCCTTCAGAAACACCATGCAGAGAACCACATTAAACCATTTTTTACAGAAAGGCTCCCATGAGAGAACGATTTCCCACCAGGTTTTGAAATTTCACAAGCAACTCACTTGTTGAATAGCATCTCACTTGCTTAACCTGTCTCCAAAAATATGTTTGTACAGTATATCGCCTAAAGCCTTTCTCCTCCTCCTTATTCACTTATTTCAAAGTTACGTATTCCTACATGGTTATTTTGAGAGCTTGCCCTATACACTCTTTTATGACTTTGAGCTATGGTCCTTTCTGCTGAGTGTGAAACTTAATTTGTGAGTGAATCTATCTAGTCCATTGCACTCTTTGACAAAGAAGTGAGAGCCGTTTTTTAAATTTTCTGTAGATTTTATTGTGCCAACCCCCCCAGTTGGTAGTACATGTACCATAATGTTGATTACCACAAAAATGTATTTATACTTGTCCCATTTTAATGCCTAAAATGACAGTAAAAATGACAATATAATAATACACAAGTTAAAATAATACACAAGCTAAAAGTTTTAACAGAAGAATACAAAATCATTTTTAGTCTATTAATCCCAGAAAAAAAAAATCAGCTTTCAACATCTCCATTCTCTCACAGATCTCCATCATACAGGTCTCTCTCTCTCTCTCTTTGATATATTGGCATTAGGCCCATGCAATAAGAAAATTCCCTCATAGACCTACATGATTTATTGAGAAAGAAAAAACACATCAGCTCCAGCTTGAAGCGAAATGATGGCCGCTCACTCTGCCTGCTAAATAGGGCCCCCAGTATGCTGTGGAAATAAAGGAATTCCTCACTTCTAAACAGCTGGCAGGTAATAATACCTTGTGTTCTGTGACCACCGTAAGGTATGTGAGTTTGGTTGCTGTTATAATCCAGTGACAAGAGCAGATGAAGGGTGACTGTGTTTATGTGTGTGTGTAGAGGAAGACTGCACTCTTGCCCTTCTGTTGTAATGCATGGAAGTTAGATGAAAGTCACATATTCCATGGAGAAAGACTGTGCTAGGCCATCGTCTGGACCGGCTGATTGTCTATTCAACTAGCGTTCTGTATTCACATTCAGGAGGTGGTTCATTTTTAAATGGGTAAGTTTTTAGGAGACACAGAGTTTCATGGATTCTTGGCAAGCAGTGCTTGAGCTGTGGTGCCGTCATTGAAGCCGAACATAGAAGCAGACCATAACAGCACAACACTGCGGTCACATTTAGAAGAGATGTGCCTGCAAACCCTTCATCTGACGAAATTTGCAATGTAGCACAAATCTCAAATGTCTTATTGCTTTAAAAAATGGTTACTATATATAATAAAAATGATATGTAATTAAATATATGTAAAACTCTGTTCATCATATTAAGGAATCCTGTTTCTTCAGAAGACTTCTTACTGACTTCTTTTACGTTCTCTTAATGAACTTTTCAAAGCATCAGTGTTTTGGTGGAATGGACTTTCAACGGAGGGACAGAAATCTCCCAGGTTTCATTCAAATATCTTTGTTTCGAAGATTAATGAAATTCTTATTGATTTGGAACGACATGATGGTGAATTAATGATGACAGAATTTAAATTTTTGGGTTAACTGCCATTAAGGACACAAATTATCATCAGTACGTTAAGTATTTAAGTCATTAAAGGGATAGTTCAGCCAGAAAATGTCGTTTTAAATGTCGCTTTGTCTTTTTCTGTGGGAAACAAAGGAAGCTACTGTTTTTGAAGAATTGTGAACTGTTTTTGTTCATACAGTGAAGGTCAGTTGGGACATTTTTTTGAGACATCGTTCAGTAATATCTTTTTTGTCTTCCATAGAGGAAAGAAAGTCATGCATGTTCTTCATAATCCATCATCAATTGGTAATTAAAATGTCTTAATTGAAATCTGCCTCAATTAATTAACACTTGCTAAATATAATAGTCTTTCTTTTTATTTGTTGATTTGTGTCTTGCTGAGACACTCTCACTCTTTGTTGAGGCTTCATTCTCTCTCATTCTCTCCCCACAGATGCTTGTTTAAAGAGACTTGCTGAGTTTCCCACATCAGCATTTTACCTCCTGGAATCGCAGCCAATTTGTTGATTTAAGTCACACACTGAGTGGAGATTGATGGCTCTGGAACTGCAGGACTCCTTATCGATTGATCACACAGCCTGTTGATATGTGCTCTACCGAATCGTTCATCATTGTAAAGTGCGTCCATAAACACCCAATGAAAGTGCTTTAGTCTATGTAAGATTGCGCCAAATGATCTGGCCATGCAGATATTGGGGCAATATTTTAGTGGATTGCCATCATAGCTCAAATCTTTCTTGTTCCTGTATCTTTTTGGGAAAATGTTGTTGCTGAGATGTCAGTATTTCGTAAGAGAAGCATGGAAAGCTAAGTGTAAGAGAGCATTACATATCCTTAATTTTTCAAAACAATCACCATGTGTTTGTGGATCATTCTGCTGTAAATACATTAGTTTTGTCCATGTGCTGTGTTTCCATGTATAAAAGGGAGCTGGCATGTCACTGAGTCTCTGTGCTTTGCATATGTGTTGTGTGATCACAGTGGTGGAAGCAGCCAGTCATCCATGAAGACAGCAGCGGCTCACAGATTTGCTGCACAGCTCTGGGGCAATGGCATTACACAACACGTTGGCAGGAAAAGCTTTGTGCACACGAGAGACTGTGGCCATGGAAGCTCTGGAAGAGACCAGAAAAACTGTCATGCAAGTGGCTCTAGGTAGGAGGACCGTTTTTTTGTTTTTTGTTTTTTGTTTTTACCTTCAATATTTGAATTGTGAACAAAAATCACACTGTAAAACCGTGGCTACAAATAAAACTACTCACTTTTTCAGTGACCCAGGTCCCATTTCCCATAAAGAGTTTTAAGCCTTGAACCAAAGCAAACAGCTCCAAGATGAGTTACAGCATTTCATCCTAAATATAAAATAAAATAAATAAGAAAAAAATAATGACATTACAGTGTATATAATAAAAAAGTTTACATAGAGATCCTCAAACCAACTGAAGGGGAGATGCAACCAAAAATCAAAAAATTCTTCTCAGTTGGAGATGTCTGATGAAGGCCCTGACAATGGCTGAAATGTTATTTGTTTTAAACTAATTAAGTTAAAAAATATATATATGTTTTCTTCTATAGTGAGAGTTGCACCTTTTCTTCAGTTCAGTATATATAATTGTGCAGTTTTTCTTTTATGCCAAAAATCATTAGGATATTAAGTAAAGATATTTTGTAAATGTCCTACTGTAAATATATTAAAACTTAATTTTTGATTAGTTATATGCATTACTAAGAACTTAATTTGGACAACTTTAAAAGCGGTTTTCTCAGTATTTAGATTTTTTTGCACCCTCAGATTCCAGATTTTCAAATAGTTGTATCTCGGCCAAATATTGTCCGATCCTAACAAACCATACATCAATGGAACACTTATCTCAATTTCGAAAAATTTACACTTAAGACACTTAAGGTCACACATGTATTACAAAGCATTCAAATGTACGCAAAGGAGTATTTTATTTTTCAAATATACACAAAATATGCACAAATCGGACAGCTCCAAGATCCGTAACATTACAAGACTATCAAAAAGTAATTTTAAAATCAAAGAAACAAGTAAATGATTCCGGATACGATCAGAAGTGATGATGCAATATAAAACTGTTGGCTGTAAGTATAAATATTCTTGAAGCAAACTTTTGCCTGAATGATTATTATATTCACTGTTTTGAGCATTGAGAATGCCAGTACAGAATGGCGCATGCGATAAGAGTCAACAGTCACTAGGGCAGTGCAGCAGTAGCAGCAACAGCCTCCCACGGGTCCTATAATGCCCGTCCGGTAATGTCTTTTATTTACTTAGGGGGTGCTGTGGGCCTACTTGTAATGAAACGAAAGTAAAAGACACAAATAACATTAAGATTGTGTTTCTGATTAAATAAAGCTGTAATTGATGTCATAAAATCACGAGTATGGTTTGATTTAAAGGTCAGAAGGTATAGCTTACATGAATAAAAATCACAAACAAGACACAAAAAAAAAATATATATATATACAGATTTATTCATTAATGTGTAATCCAAATATTGTCCGATCCTAACAAACCATACATCAATGGAACACTTATCTCAATTTCGAAAAATTTACACTTAAGACACTTAAGGTCACACATGTATTACAAAGCATTCAAATGTACGCAAAGGAGTATTTTATTTTTCAAATATACACAAAATATGCACAAATCGGACAGCTCCAAGATCCGTAACATTACAAGACTATCAAAAAGTAATTTTAAAATCAAAGAAACAAGTAAATGATTCCGGATACGATCAGAAGTGATGATGCAATATAAAACTGTTGGCTGTAAGTATAAATATTCTTGAAGCAAACTTTTGCCTAAATGATTATTATATTCACTGTTTTGAGCATTGAGAATGCCAGTACAGAATGACGCATGCGATAAGAGTCAACAGTCACTAGGGCAGTGCAGCAGTAGCAGCAACAGCCTCCCACGGGTCCTATAATGCCCGTCCGGTAATGTCTTTTATTTACTTAGGGGGTGCTGTGGGCCTACTTGTAATGAAACGAAAGTAAAAGACACAAATAACATTAAGATTGTGTTTCTGATTAAATAAAGCTGTAATTGATGTCATAAAATCACGAGTATGGTTTGATTTAAAGGTCAGAAGGTATAGCTTACATGAATAAAAATCACAAACAAGACACAAAAAAAAAATATATATATATATACAGATTTATTCATTAATGTGTAATTTTTTTTTTTTTTCAAATGGATTATGAAAACTTAAATACAAGGAGCTCTAAAATATTTTCAGAATTTGTACAACTATTTTGCTTTAGACCATCTACAAATGTTAAATATTCAAATAAAATGTATATATATATATACAGATTTATTCATTAATGTGTAATTTTTTTTTTTTTTCAAATGGATTATGAAAACTTAAATACAAGGAGCCTGTGATCAAAACTGAATTTTCAGCATCATTACTCCAGTCTTTCGGGGTGTCACATGATCCTTCAGAAATCATTCTTAAATGTTGATTTGCTGCTCTGTTTTGATTATTGGCGCTTAATCATTAATATGGGTTCTTATCAATATTGAACACATTTTTTTCTGCTTCATATTTTTGTGGAAATCATGATACATTTTATTTTTCAGGATTCTTTGTTGAGGACGAGTATGGTTTGATTTAAAGGTCAGAAGGTATAGCTTACATGAATAAAAATCACAAACAAGACACAAAAAAAAAATATATATATATACAGATTTATTCATTAATGTGTAATATATATATTTTTTCAAATGGATTATGAAAACTTAAATACAAGGAGCTCTAAAATATTTTCAGAATTTGTACAACTATTTTGCTTTAGACCATCTACAAATGTTAAATATTCAAATAAAATGTTAAGGATTGCTTTATAGTTGCTTTATAGTTATTTTCAAAGCTTTCAATGTACTCTTATTATAAAATAACTTTTAATTCTCAAAAGTAAGTTTTTGTTAAAAACTAACCAAAATGAAAAAAATATATATTTGTTTATAATCTCTGTACAGGAGAGACTTGGTGTTGTTTCCAAACAAAAAGAAATATATCGGTATGGCTATCGGCCAAAATGAGTTGAAAAATATCGGCATATCGGATATCGGCAAAAATATATAATAAATATAAAAATATAGCCCTAATAAATTAATGTAATAATAATAATATACAAATATTAAATTAAATGTTTAATGTTAATAAAAATGTTTCATCCATCTCTGATAATCCCGGGTTGCTATGGTCACACAGGTTTATTGCCACGACATAATATCACGTTCCCTCGAGTTAATATGACGTTCCCTCAAATGAATATATCGTGGCCACAACATATTCTCACGTTCCCACGAGTTATTATGTCGTGGCCACAAAAAAAAAAACTAAGTGAACCGAACACGTCAGTTCCCGGGCTCTGTACTTATTACTAAATAATAAAATATATACAAAGTTTTTGTTGAGCATGGAGGACTAGGAGTGCCATTTAAAAATAAAATGAAGAAATGTTTTAAATATCCTAAAGAAATATCCTTTTTTCCAAACAAAAGTAAATATATCGGTATCGGCATCAGCATCGGCTATTGACCAAAATGAGTTGAAAAATATCGGCATATCGGATATCGGCAAAAATCCAATATCGTGCATCACTAGTGTGAACGCACCTTTGGTTTCACAACATTACCTGGTAGACAAAAGTTTGTCATGCAATGACATGGAATTCTTCTAATTTCTTACAGAAATCATCAGTTTTTTTAGTGACATAATTAGCATTTCAAGTAGTCGGTCATGCATGCACATTACGCCCTCATCTTCATTTCAAATGACGCACTAAAAATATTAAATTAAATGTTTAATGTTAATAAAAATGTTTCATCCATCTCTGATAATCCCGGGTTGCTATGGTCACACAGGTTTATTGCCACGACATAATATCACGTTCCCTCGAGTTAATATGACGTTCCCTCAAATGAATATATCGTGGCCACAACATATTCTCACGTTCCCACGAGTTATTATGTCGTGGCCACAAAAAAAAAAACTAAGTGAACCGAACACGTCAGTTCCCGGGCTCTGTACTTATTACTAAATAATAAAATATATACAAAGTTTTTGTTGAGCATGGAGGACTAGGAGTGCCATTTAAAAATAAAATGAAGAAATGTTTTAAATATCCTAAAGAAATATCCTTTAAAACTTTTTGTTGAAAGTTCATTGGTTGCTCTCATCATGCATGAACCGTCCAAAGTCATTAGTTTTAACTCAACTGCTAAATGGATGATTTCAAATAAATAAAATAAATAAATAAATAACAATTATAAAAGTTGCAAAAAATGCATTTTAAAAAGTAGTTGTTGGTGTATTTCAATTCATTATTTTGTTACATTTAACTTTGTAAACATTAATTGAATAATTTTAAATGTCTCTTTGTTAATTAAAAAAAAAAACTTTACTTAAAATTGTAACCATGAATAAAATAAATCATTTTAGCCTATGTATATTTGTGCCAATTTGCAAAAAAAGAGTAACGTATATATTTACTAAAACATTTTACTCATTGATTAATTCAACAGTTTTAACTATCTATTTATGTCAATTTGAAGAAAAAATTTATTTAATGTATCTGCTTGC